TTTAAACAGCACTAGTAATCACAGCTACCGAGTAGTTAAAAAAAAAAGAGTACTGTTAAACACTCACACAGAACGTGACAGGAGAGATTTCTTCAGATCAGGGTCATTGGTGTACCTGCTGTCTGTGAGAGAGTCTACATGGGGTATATGGTTTATGAAAGGGGTTTAGATTGGCTATAATATGATTCATTGATTAATATATATTTTCGTTCTTGAGGGGATCAAATGGTGATTTGTGTATCTGGCTGTTTGTGTGAGGGTCTACATGGGGTATATGATTATGAAAGGGGTTTAGATGGGGCATAATATGATTCATTAATTAATATTTATTATTTATGATTTATTATATTTTCATTCTTGAGGGGATCAAAGGGTGATTTGTGTATCGGGCTGCTTGTGTGAGGGTCTACATGGGGTATATGATTTATGAGGGGGTTTAGTGGGCTTGAATATTTTGATTGCTGGGGGGGGGGGGGGGCGGTCAAGGGGTGTTTTCAACTTATTTGTGTAGTGGCCCTAGTGGGCTGTTTGTGTGAGTCTACATGGCGTATATGATTTGTGAGAGGGGTTTAGGTGTGGGCCTCGTGGGCTATAATATGGTTAGTTAAACTTAATTATTTTTGTTCCCCCCCCCCCCCCCCCTCCCTCGTTAGGGTGATTTGTATATCTGGCTGTTTGTGTGAGGAAGGAGGGGCGTGTGTGTACCGGATGTGTATGTTTGTGAAATTTTTGAAGTTTTTTCTTTTCTTTTCCCCCCCTGTATCTGTATGCTTATGTTCTTTCTGTTTATTGGTACGCCATAACTGTCATTGGTTCGTTAACTTCATTCTCTTTCTTGTGCCAACAGGTCCCGAAGAACAGATGTTTTTGGAAGTTTCTATGGCATATAGAGATGGAAGGAGTGTTATAAGTGACGAAGAGTATGACAAACTGAAGATAGAGTTGAAGGTAGGTGTGCGTAAGACAAGTTGGCCATCTTCTTTTTCTTCCTTTTTTTCTTCTTCCTCTCTTTTGCTGCTGGTTTTTCAAATAGACAAGTTGGCAATCCTGTTGTGGGCATTGGTCTCTTTTCTATGCTACTAATGATAATTAGTGACATTTGTCTTTGTTCTTTCTGGAGGACAGTGGTTCCACTTAACTGGCAGAAGTAATCAGACATTGATGTGCCATGCTTTGATGGGAGGGACACTCTCTCTCTCTCTCTCTCCCCCTCTCACATTCTCTCTCTCTCTCTCTCATTCTCTCACATACGTACGTGTCCTCCTGACAAGCTGCTTGGCTTCCAATAGCAAGGTTGGGTGAGCGAGCGTGTGTGTGTGTGTGTGTGTGTGTGTGTGTGTGTATGTGTGTGTGTGTGAGAGAGAGAGAGAGAGGGACGAAA